TTATGTAGAATGTCCAAACTTTTTACAGCATTGCTTGACTTTCTTACACATTTATTTGGTCCAACAAAATTATGTTCAAAATCTGTATCTCTCTATACCTAAACTCTTTAACACTTCAGCAAAATTATTTTTTTTTTTTTATATATAAATACATAATGATCAAATAATAATGGAAAGTTTCATTTTTGAAATCGCACAATTAACGATTCTCAAAATATTTTATTCGCATTTGAGATTATCGTCGTTACGCTGGATAAGTTAGAAATTCTGAAATCTTCTGGGCCACCGCGATACCATTTGTATAACGCTTAAGATATTAAATACGAATAACGCGCCGACTCTGATTGCAATCAAGAGCAGATCCGTTGTGCAATTTGCGGAATTATTTCCGGACGTTACATTGACCACACGTAGCAGATATGATGGAGCGTGGGAGAGGGCGGGAACTAATGGAAGAGGAGAAGAGAACTGGTACGGTCGCGACCGCCGGAGTTGGACCGAATGCAAAGCCGCTAATCTGATTCGGAGGCTCACGGAAAGCGGTGTAGCTTTTGGCCCCGCGTGGCCCGGTGTGGCACGCGGATTCCCGTCAATTATACATTATAAACAGTCATAAATATGCAAACGGTGGTGGTGTTCGCCGGTGGTGAGGCGATTGCGGCCGTCGCGACGCGGGCGTCTCCCACGCGGATTTGCAGCTTCGCCTTCTGAGCTTCCACGTAAAAGCCGAAGCGCGATCATGAGAGAGCCGTAAGCCCGTATCTTGATACACCTAATACCATCTAAACAGAAACCTCTGGCTGCTACGTTCCAAAATCCTTCAATCTAATTCATGCGGATTTCTTCGGTAGATTTCAAGTAGAAGACAAGTTAAATATTTTTTTAATAAATCAAGATTGGATTCTGAAGGAGCTGTAAGTTCACTTGAATTGTCTGCGAATATGAAACTTTTGTTAAGTGTACGAAGTACAACTACTAACTAGTGTTTGAGGCAAATGAAAACGCATACAAATCAAGTGATTGAATCTAGATAGAGAAACTAGGCAGACTTAATCAGGAGACATATGGATGTAAGACGTTAGGAGAATTAATCTCGATAACGGGACTTTAATCGTGTGGACACTCCTCGCGTCTGTATTCCAATCAGCTTATCCGGATAAACGCGCTTCGCGTCAGACAAGCAAATGCATCTACAGCTTGGGATTGTGCATCTCCCCATTCACATGAGAAAATACATATGGCAATCACGTATTAACCGATGACACTACCTTCCCGCTGAGCACATCGACTATTCAACAATTAAGCGCAATCTCTTTCCAATTGCACCTTGCTGTTCCTAAATAAATGTCCTTAAGAAATCTATGCACGCTTCAAAACAAATTATCTTGAATTTCTGATGCAATTTGCCTGCCAATGTCTAACAATGTTTCTAACATTTTTATCACTTTCTTTAATAATATTATTAATTTTATCCGCCACCTGGCAAACAAGCTGTTATTTATCATTATTTTGATGTCATAATGACAACAAATAACGTCAGGTTGTTTGCTGGGCCACTCGCACATGTTTTGTAAAAGATTCTGATCTTAATTCGAAATTTTGAAAAAAGGAAGTAGATTACAGCTCGCTCTCGAACCGTACGTTCGTTTTTATGTCCTTACGGTTATCCCAAGTGAAAACCTGGATGAGCGGCGTATCTACCGAGAGAGGATCGTGGAATTCGGATCAGTTTTCGCTATCTCGCGAAACGATACACGCGATTTCGCCATCGTCCACGCGAATCCGTGCAATTACGGGGCGCTCGCGAGAAGCTCGAATGCGACGGACAGTTTCAGCTGTGTGGTCACAAATGGCTAATTTTCTCGTTAGCGACGATGCTCGTGTCCAACACGATTTTCCCTCGGTGGGTCCGTGTTGCAACTGGTCGTTTTAGAACTGCTTACACGACGCTTACGCGAGAAGAAAGTTTAGCTGACGTTGCCCGAGGTGTTCTTTGACGATTTTTATCTCCGCGAAATGCGGAAAACAATCCGAGTGTACAATCCGAGGAAATTAATTTTACTCCAAGGCAATTTAGAATCGAACTAATAGAGGAATATTTCTTTTTAAAGAAGAAATATGTGTACTTCAAATTTATATATTATTTCCGGATTATAATTATTATTTTTATATCTACGAGGGCAGATTATTTTTTTATTGATTTTATACCTTATATTAGATTCTCTAGATCTTTTAGAAAGTTGACAAAATTTCGTAAAGGTTTTAAACATTTGAGAAATTGAGAAAACTTTTATAGTATCTTTACGTGTTTAATGTTAAATTTCTCTCTATGTGAAGAGAGAGAGAGAGAGAGAGTAGAGAGAGAGAGAGAGAGAGAGAGAATTGTATATTCATAATATCTCTAATGTCCTTGCGGAGAAAATTTTGTTATATAATTTTTCTATAATTTTTTCATAATCCTTAGGGATTTTTTTCGTAAATAAGATAAAGCTATCAATTTATCTATCGAGACAACTTTAGTCCCTCCTTGCGGATTTACGGCCCATCGTTTTGCACCGAATGATCCCGTTGGGAAAACGAGTGATCAGGAACGCTGGTACGTGCGTGCAATAATGTGAACTTGAGATGGAACGATTAACCAACTTTGCGACCAATTGCCAACTTTACTGCAAATTTATTTTGAAATTAACAGACGTGTTTGCGTTTCTTATATTTTATTTACTTTTCAAGTCAGAAATTCTCAAAATTTATTTTTCCACTCCACAGATATTTCTTTTTTCTTCTCTCTCTCTCTCCGTCTCTCTCTCTCTCTCTCTCTCTCTCTCATCATCATGCTAATCTCTCTTTTATTTTAATGTGTATTAATGAAAATTAGATTTTACATATATACATGTATATAGAAGTTAATGATACAGTGTATGTGTGTGTGTGTGTATGGAAGTAGAGAGAGAGAGAGAGAGAGAGAGAGAGAGAGAGAGAGAGAGAATGTGTGTAGCTTTTAATTATTATAGTTATCAAGAAACTTTAAACTAATTATAACATAGAACTACTAATAACAATAACGTTAAGTGCGTGTAAAATAAATATTAAAGAAAACTTAATTTTTTTAATGATTTGAGAGTCATGATGGACGAACCAGAAAATTCTGATTATCACAATTAAAATTCTAGTAGTTTAACTAGAAAATTCTGATTCATCCATTTTTAACCAAAATTATTCTAATTATTCCTACCAGACATTTTTCTCCGTGTATTTATTTTCGCAATCTTACAGAATTTTATTTAGTTTCTCAAATCATTTCGACGCTTTGAGGTCAAGTCATCTTGTTATGTCGCCTGCAATCATTTTACTCGGCAAGCTAGTACATCAAAGTTAAACGCTAAACTGATTACCGGGATACGTCGTCGGTTAGCCAGTAAAAGATCGAGATGTCGGTATATCCAGAAAGGATTGAATTTCTCAAGAGATCACTCGTCTCGAAAGGGCCACTTTTACCTTGATCTTAATCATGGATCATCGGGATTTCAAAGAGATCGTCGAACACACGCGAGATTTTGAACGGAAGAGTCGATCAAACGGGATGGTCGGACGAATTATAGCCAGCTCGGTAGTCTGGTAAAGGGGTGATGCTGCCCTTTGCCGAGGGCGACATCGAGATGTTCCCTCTGATCTTGCCCAGCAGCGACTGATAAGTGGATAAAGAGGCTCGAGGAAACGGAGTGTCTCGAAAGTTCGGTTAGGTTAAAGAGACAGGTTGACAGGAAGGAAAAACGAAGAAGATATAAGGTTCGCACAAATGATGATCGCACTCCTACGAGGCTCGTTAAGCATTGACAGAAAGTTGCGAATACAAGCAACAAGTTTGCGTTCTCGCTGTTTGCTCGCTTAATGCGTTCCGAAAATTTACTCGTAAACAGAGATTTGCATGAAGGAGCAACAATTTCCTGGCACAAAGATGTTTGCTGTTCCTCGTGACTCAAATTCATGCTAAATGCAATAATCATAGGATAAAAATGGAATAATTATAAATTCTCAAGCTTCCCGTAACAATTAAACTACATAGTTATTTTTGCAAATTTTTGGTATAACTATAATTTGGTATAATTATAAGTTATATAATTTAAAATGTTAGATATTGTAATGTAAGATTGAAATTGTTTAAGTAAACTTTAAAATGTTTCAGTGAACTTAAAAATTGAAGTCTAAAAATAATAAAAAATAATTTTCTAGATAAAGAAATTGTTCTGATACTCAAATTATACCATTAAAGCTATTGTTACTGTAACTTATAAGACGTGGAGACGAAGTCAGACTTTTGTTTTCGACTTCCTGCTTTTGACACTTCGGTAAAACTGGTGTCAAAATAATCTCTATCCACTACGACAAAAATGCAATCCGACATATAGAAGGGCCGCGAAAAAATGTGCGGTCGTTCGCGACATTCCCTTCAAAATTTTCGCGACGAGCGCCGGAAAATTCAGACGCTGTCGGAAGCGAGAAGGCGGGCGAATTCCGGAGATCCTGGCGGAACAAAATTTTCTGACGTCTCTCGTCTCTTTGTTGTTCGGCCTTTTGTTCCGGCCCGATGGAAATGTTGGCCGGCGACCAAATTGCGTAACTCTCGCGAGAGTGTCGCGGAAGGTTGAGTCGATGGAAGTTCGAAGGAGCAAAACCTGGGAGAAGGGACTGAAGGGAAGAGATACGACGTAGACGACGGAGGCGGTGCTGGGTAGTGTTTGGACTCCGTGGAGAATATGGAGGGTATGCGAGAGGGTGCTGGATGGATCGGCGTCAAAGTGAGGCAACCTGATGTATATGCATGCTACTCTCGGGTCAGCGGGATGGCCTGAATTACCATAAACATGCTAGATAGTAGGCTAACTGCCGTTGTTCTCGTCCCCGACCCGCTATCACCCTCGTATCCACTCGGTCGGTTTACCTCCTTCGATTTGGCAGAGCTATAGTGCATTTCTGTCTCTTGTCTTGATATGCAAGCGAACGTCTCGTACCCCTTTGTGCTCGCTTTATGACATTATCGATACGATGGAGGCATTTATAAACGATAAAGTGTAAATAGTAATTGATTCGATCTTGAATCCTGCTCCTTTTAATTGTGAATATTTTGAATAAATCCTTAAAGTCATAAATTTAAAGCGTAGTAAAAATATTTCCCAATATAATAAAAAGGAAATCACACTGAGAAAAATGTACTAAATTTTAATAAATATTTATTTGAATATAGTACCATCTGAATGTTCATTTACAATAAATAAATATTTATATCAATAAAAATTAATTGTTAAGTCAAATTAATGTACCAAATAAATATATCTTTAGTAAATGTTTAGTTGGTACAATTCGAATAAATGATTTATTAAAATTTAGTTTTTTTCAGTATATATATGAATACACATGATAAAAAATACATTATAAGAATATATAAAAATATTATATAAATATTTTAGAAAAATATCGCATTAATTTTGAAAACTTTGTCACTTATTATGAAAAAAATATAAAGATATATGTAAAAAATATATATGCATACGTTTGAAAAATTTTGCTTCATCATAGCAATAGCACGAAAGGACGTTATGTTTTTTACAGGGAAACTTGATCGCAATTTTATCGAGAGAATACATCCGTATCTAGACTTCTAGAGAGAATACATTTGGTTGTGGAACAAGAGAAAAGGAAAATGTGACTTTGACGTTCGTTTTGCACAGTGAATTTACTGATGTGTTATTTCGCAAATAGCTCGTTATTTGTCGTGGCTCTGAACTCGATTCGCACTCTCATATCGCGCCCGGTTTCGTGTATCTAACACGCGAGTGTCTTATTTATTTTCTAGCCATTTCGTATGAGTTTAGCGCTTTCATCGCTTTGAGCCGTTTTTGCTATAAAATTAATCTTTTGTCGGATTATTTGCTTCGGCTAATCGTTTATAGATAATTTTGCGAGACATTTAAGCGATGGAATTAAATTTCTGTAGAAATTATAATCGTTATAAAGAATTTAAATATTATTATTAAATTTTTATTAAATTTTATTATGATAATAAGTGAGCTTTGCCTAATAAACGAAGCTTGATGAATAGGTCATTCTAAAACAAGCTTTTAAATACAATTATATTTTAAATTATTACAGCAAAATACATTTTTAGAAAGAATCTTCCTTTTCTCACATATAAATTCTTTGCACAATTTTAAATCTATAGATTTTTTTTTATATAATTCTTTATATTATTTTCATAATTTCTACTATCTTTGTAACTTGTAACATTATTAGTTAATCTCGTTTTTAGAATTTTAATATTTTTCATAGTTCTCTTCGTTTGCAATTCGGATTTTTTTGACATAAGGGAAATTTTATAAAATTTTATTAAAATAAAAAAAAAGAGAGTGAAATTCGATTTCCTTTTTTAAAATATCTTGTTAAAAAATTATATGATAATGTAATAGAGATGCTGAAAAGTAATCTTGAATTTTTACATATTTTTTAAAAGTCTATAACAGTAAAAGAATTTGAGCTGGACAAATGATTAAAATTCTTAATTTAGAGATATACATATAATTATAATACATACGAAATATATGTTATAAGAAACCTCCTATCTCTTACTCTCATATCTTTTCCACATAAATACGAAATATGTTACATAATTATACTATTCCATACCTTTTTAAGTCTTGTTAGAGATCGTTAGATTGAAGACATACGTAAGAATAAGGAACAGCTACTTTCACATCCAATCGTCTTCTTATTGTTAGTCTACAAAACGAAACACAAGATATACAGCATTTTATTAATCGAAAATCATTCTGACAATAAGACTGATGGTAAATTCAGTCACTCGAATTATACTGGATTAATACACATTAAATGCTACTTTATATAAAATATCTAGATATAGTAATATAACTTAATAAACTTTAACAATGAAATAATATATGTTTATTCTATTATAAATAACTTGATAATTATATTACTATTCCGTATTTAATTATTTAAAGTATTTATACAATAAGAGCAAAAGGTATTTATACAAGAAAATTTGTTATAAAAAAAACCTTATTTGTAGAAAATAATCATTAATTAGCAATTTTATACAACGAATATATTCTATTCTAATATAAACAAACGAGATTAGCATGTATTCCTGATTTTAGAAGCTAAATTTCTTGTCTGTACGAAATTTTTTGAGCATTGAAACAATACAATTTATAATTTTCGCTTATTTTTCGGATGATATATTTTATATAATTAATACACATCATTTTGGTATATATAATTTTAAGAAACATACAGTCTATTTTATTCTTTATGAATAAATTGTTAATTATCCAACAAGAAATGATAGTTAATTAAACGTCGAATCAACTTCAAATTGGTATTAAAATCATCGAATTTATATCGATTCGACATCAATTCGATGATTTATTTCTCGCTGGATAATATTTATTTTTTTTAAATAAAGTTTTTTTAAAAAATATTTTCTCTGTATGTATGAATACTTTTTGTACTCACTCTATGTTTTTATAAAAGCACATATAAATATTTTAAATAATTAAATATCTAATATTGATATTGTCACGTTATTTAATAGAATATACATATATTACTTCATTGTTGGTTGATTTTATTAAATAACGTAACAATATCATTATTAGATATTTAAAATATTTATATGCTTTTATAAAAGCATATAAATATTTTAAACAATTAAATATGTATCTAATAATAATATTGAGTTATTTAATCTATGGAATATACATGTATTATTTCATTGTTAAAGTTAATTACCTATGTTATGCTACTGCATACTTTAAACGTATATGTTGCTAATTTTATATTTAGGTACATATACAGCTGTTATAACAGTTTTTAGTATGCTTAATATGGAATGGATTATTCCTTACCTCTGAACGATTATAACTGTAGCACATTACAGTGTCGTTACGCAGCTTTTTTCACTATATACAAAACTCTTGCGCGACAACGCCATGTAATTCTAATCATTAAGAGTTACAGAATAAGATTCTAAATCTAGTACAATGCAAATAATCGTATTCTTTATGAAGAAGCGCGGAATATTTCAACTTACATTATTTGAAAGAACTACAATAGAAAGGATATAGGCAGAATCCTTTCAAATATTCAACTGGCACGGAGTTTTTGCGCTGTGTCGTCACGCTGTGCCCGTAAACAAGGTCACGGTTGCCTAGTTACGGCCGGTCGGCGCGCGGCACTGCGTACCTAACTACGTATTCGTGCGGCGAGGCTCGAGCAAGTACGCAGCAGTGTGAAATTCCTGCGTATTTAATCGTATTATTATTTCGCGTAACGCGATCGCGACAAATGCGACAATGAACACGAAGCTTTTCACGACGACTCTGTCGAAACCGGTCGAAACGAACACGTTCGTGATTCAGTTCCGCGTGTCTCCTTAATCTTTTGAAAATCTGCGATGAAACTGGCCGGGAGTTTGTCTCGTACATTAACTTCGCTTTACAATTATTTTAGTATTAGAAATAAAAGTGTGACACGGGATGAGAATTATATGAATTAGCGTCTCGTGACATTTTCGTGGGGCAATTATATATCTTTGATATTCTTGCTCTCACTTCATAAATCAAAATTGTTCTATTCTTGAGTTCAAAGTAACACTCGTTCGCGTGTGAGCAATCTGTGTAACGAGAAAAGCCTCGATATATAATTTTTCCTTTAAATAATACGCGAAATTCGATATGTATTACATTCGTATGTATTGCATTCGGTGCTGAATCAGACCAGGTATTATTGGACGACCCGTCGCGTTTCGATTAATTCTCCATTAATTCAATTTTACTGACCGCATTAGGATAATGCCTTAATAATCGCGGCATCGATATGAAGTTGGCGAGATTCTTGGAAGTTCACTTCGCGTCGTTCGCAGTCAATAACGAAAGGTCGCTGGTATGGCACGGATCGGCTCCGCGTCAATCGTCGTCATGAGGTCGTTGTGACGTCTCCAAGGTGATAAATATCGTTCAAATGAAGCTTTTGTATTTCAATATTTGTCAATCGCGTGGTATAAATTCGATACGTGCACATCTGTGTGTTTCCAAAACGCGTATCTCGCGACAACAGAAGTAATTCATCATACGAACGGGAAACGACGACTATATTCTCCATTCTTTCGATATTTGTGCTCGAAATATTTCACGATGCTTGTCGTATAACTTTCATTCGCGTACGTACATCTATTTTGTGTATTATAATACATGTAATAAAGATACAGTAAGCGTATGCTGTTTGCCATTCAAAGCGCGAAAAGTGCACGGAAATGCGGTTAGAAGCAACAGGTGTAGGCGTCGCGTCGCCGCGGCGAGTAGCGCCTGAAGTTGACCGCACGATTTTTCGACTCCGTCCGCCATGTTAGATTCGTTCGTCGCGTCCGTTTGCGCTGCATCGAACGTCGCAGTTGCGAGTTCTGACAGGTACAATCGCAGTTTTCTCGCGTTTATTCCGCTGTCACGTCGCGCTATCGTTGTCGGGAGTGTCGCACGATCGTCTTTTGGTAATTAGTGTGCGTTTAATTAACCGCGTGAATGAGTGTTGTGCGAGTGCATCGACGGAATCTGAGAGGAGGAGGAGACCCGGGGAGGCATCGGGCGCCAACGGAACAACCGCGGAGTGAGTATTCATTCTTTTGTTTGTTATTTCTTACTTGTGGAATTAATCGCATTTATTTTTGCGACAGTCGCGAATATTAGATAATTCACGTAAAAGATAATCTTTTATTTAAGGATGTATTAGGTATATAGTGTCTGTACAAAATAGTGGCTACAATTGGAAATTTATTCTTTTCATATAAAAATGAATATTATATACGCATGGAATAGTTCAATAAGACTAATTTTTATTTTAAGTAACGATACAATTTTATAGTTTGAATAAAAATTCTTTTATTTTTCTTAGTTATTTTTTAAAAAACGTGTCTATTTTTTATTGAAATAATTTTTGATCTAGGTTCTAAATTACAGCCAAACTTTTTTATCACTTTTTAAATATAGAATATATTTCAAGAAAAATCTACAATTTTTTCATAATTTTTTTTCATTTTGTTAAAAAATATGTGCAATACATCCTAAAATGTATCAAATTATATGAGAGCTCATATTTGTATACTTGAGAATTTTTTTGGAAAATTATATATACTATATATATATGTATGTATATATATATATAT